TTACAAACAATGAACATATATATTCTTCCTTGCATTCAGAAAAAACATTCTAGAAAATTACCTCTGCCTTTACGAGCTGTGCTTTCTTCTACCCAATATACTTTTGGAAGACCTTTAAGAAGTCGAAGAAGGTAAGGAACCACAGAATCTTTGTGCTTAAAGGAAAAGAAAAAAGACTATAGTTAATAAAATACATGACTGGTAGCTTTTTAGCATAGACTGAACCCAAAGCATAGTATATCCACACTCTAATCATCTCAAAAAGGAACATTCACATGGCATAGCACCCGTTTGGTCTTCTGTCAGCCCAAGTGCCTAAGGGGAGGGCTAAGACCTGCCCTGCAGGAGCTGACTGCCCAGCCCAGCTCCGGCGTCCTCTGGGGGCAGGGCCCCAGTGAGGGGTACCAGAAGAAGGTATGTGTGTGCACATGCACTCAAAACTGCCTTCATTAAGAGATGCTCGGACTGCCCCAAACCCTTCAGTGGGCTCCGGGATCATATCCTCTGCACTGGAGGGAAGCTCACAGCCACATGCTTCCCAACTTGGCTTCTGTTGTTCATGGCCCTTACTTTCTTTGTGTTTTTGTTTTGCTTTTATATTCTGCTTTACTTTTCCGTTGGCTCTTCTTGAATTAAATATTAGACTTCACAGCCATCATTAGTCAATGAAAATTTACTTTCTTCTAGTTTCCAGACTAGCCAATCAGCATATAACTTCATCACCTTCCATTATTGGCTCTTTTGGTTGTTTCCCTATTTATAGATGCTCCACTTAAAAAGTAGGTAAGTGTGCTGTGAAGAAGGGGAATGCTATTTGATGTTCTGAACTACTGAAAACACATGTGGTGGTTCTGAATACACGACTGCAGGTTCTGTGACATTCCTTCCACTGAAAGGTGGGGGTGAATTCACCCCTCCTGGAAAATGGGCTGCCTCAGAGACTCGCTTCTAGTCGATCTAGAGGGTCACACACATGAGACTGCCTTCCCAGGGTAGGTTAGAGAATGCAGTGCAGCTTCCACCTGGCTCCTTCTCAAGACACTTGTCCTTGGAACCCAGACAATATGGTGTGACACAACGACACAGCTCAGGCCACATGGAGAGGCCATGTATACAGAGGTGACCTGGCCAAAAGCCCCAGCCAGGATCAACCCCCAGATATGACATGACTGAGCCTTCAGGTGATTCCACACCCCAGCCTTCAAGCCATCCCAGGTGATGCCAAATGGAGCAGAAACAGTGACTCTTCTGGGTTCTGTCTAAATTGCAGACTCATGAGAAAAGAAAATGTTGTATTAAGTCACCAAGTTTTGAGATAGTTTGTTATACCACAACTATAACTGATAACCAAACAGAGAACTTTCTTTAGTGAAAACAAAACAATTTCTCCTCTAAAGGATAAAAAGGAACTGACTACAACTATGCCCAGGATCCTGGTATGCTAACGGGCACAGAACTCCAAAGGGCCCTGCGAGGCGGTCACACCCACGGAGATGTAAAGTACAGCATGGGTAACACAGCCAATAACACCGTAAGAACTATCAGGTGGGTACTTGAATTATTAGGAGGATCACTTTGCAAATTACATAACTGTCCAACCCCTGTGCTGTATACTTGACACTGATGTAAAATAATGTTGATATGGAATGTCGACTATAATGAAAAATAAAATAAAATAAACACATATACCTAACAGTCAGAAAATATGTATGTGATAAAGAATTCACTTTTTGTATTAAAATATTTTATATCCAAAATACATAATAAAAATGTAGGATTAAACATATTATTTTGATCTTAAAAAAATGAAAGGTACATTAACATATACTCTAAAACTTAATCTATATCTATCATGATTTTGAAAAAGACAATATATCAAAATTATCTTGAAGAATATTGTTCTTTCGGAAGGAAGAAAAGTAGTTACTCTGAGTCTGATTAACGAACATTTTATCTGAGATTGAAAAATCAAGTCTGCTCTAGAGAATACATAATTACTTCCCAAAACATTTTAAGTAACTCTCTGGCAGATAAACAAACAAGCAAACAAAAAAATATCTAACTTTGCCCTGGCTGGTATAGCTCTGTGGATTGAGCGTGGGCCTGTGAACCAAAGGGTCACTGGTTCAATTCCCAGTCAGGGCACATGCCTGGGTTGCAGGTCCCTGATTTGGGGCATGTGAGAGGCAACCATACATTGATGTTTCTCTCCCTCTCTTTCTCCTTCCCTTCCGTTCTCAAAAAATAAATAAATAAAATCTTTTAAAAAATCTAACTTTTAACAACATAATTTATTCACAAAGTTCAAAAAACAAAATTTTATAAGATGTACATTAAAAAATCTAATTCCCAAAAAATGTCTACTTCTCACCTGTTCTACCTACTGTATCCTGCCCGCCACTAACCACTTTTATTAGGATTGCTTGCATTCTTCTAGTGCTGCTTTAGGAAACACAAGCAGGTATAAATTTAAGTTCTAATTACATCCCCTTCATACTGCCAAACACTTTCAATGCAGTGAAGACTTACCTGAAGGTCAGATTCAACGAGAAAAATGCCCAACGCAATCACCGCATCCCTCCGCCTTTCATCTAATTGGAAGATCCCATGGAAATCTACTGGGCACATACAAAGAAGCTTTTGAACCTAGAAAATGAAACCAAAAAGCCAATAGATTTGAAAATTATCAATTCATATTCAGAATAAACCAATATTACAAAAGGCCAATGAATCTATATAACCAGAGCCAGTTTTTCCAATTTAAACATCATAAAGAGAACACCTCCAGCTGCAGAAATTATTGTAGACCTGGCCTCAAAACACACTCTGAGGAACCTGGGGAGAGGGTTACAACCATGCAAGCACAGAGGAGGTAAAGCACAATCGTTAACAGCTAATACTTGGGGGTCAGGACAGTGCACAGACCCCATGTCCCATGATGCCTATAGGCAGATTAGCCAAACCTACCTACAGACAGAGTGCCTCCCCTGAAGTCTTTCTAAAAATCAAATGTGCATAAGAAGCAGTTAAGACTGCACAGCACACGGTAACTGCTCAATAAACAATGTCTATTATTACTGGATATGCCATAATAGTAGCTAGTAGAAGGCAAGCAGACAATAAATTAGTAACTTACTGAATAACTGGAAAAATTAGAATTATCTTCAAAACAAACCAACAGTAGATATGTCATAAAACATTTACTATAAATATGAAAAAAGATGATCTCAATGTTGAAAATCTCTGCCGCAGGAATCTCTTGAACATTTACAAACACGGTGGTAAAGCCCGGGCTACAGGGAGAGCCCCAACCTTGCAGTGCAGGGAGCAGACCCGCTGACCCGCTCTCACCAGCACTGACAGAGACCTGATGGGGTGTTGTACTGGCTTAAGGCAAGTGTAGTGCTTGATGTTTGCTCTGAAAGTGCCTTGGTCAATTCTCACTGTAATTTTTAGAAAGAAAGTAAACTGCTTTTGTTTGCCTGGATTTTAAAAGTGCAAATACAAAGGGACAACACAGGCCTGAAAGAAAAGCATCTTCTCACCTGAAGGATGCCAATGGCCTTTGTCCTAGCAATACTCCTTCTAGGATTGTATAGAATAATTAGAACCTTGGAGAGAGATTATGTAAAATACTTTCATCACAGTGTTGTAAACAGTAACTGAAAACCAGAAACGATAATAGAAAAACTATAATAAAGATTATATTAAAAAAAGAAAATCAGAAATAATATATTTAACAGTAGGAGATTAAATGATTCAACCAACTGATGAAATATTAGGCTGAATCACATGAAATAATTGATATTCAACCATTTTGGAGCTATAAAAATAATGCTTTCATAAAGTTTAACCTAATACTACGGACATTAAAAATAGCATTCTTCTTAAGATAAACAATGACAGAACAAGGCTCTAAATGTTCTATAAAGTTACGAGAGGAATGATCTGAATGACCATATACAAAAAAAATACTGTAAGAAAGTATATCAAAATGTTAATAGTTTTGAGGGGCAGGATGACCAGTGGTTTTGCACATCTTCTTTGTGCTTTTTCATATTTGCCAAAATATGCTCTAGGGGAAAATATTACTTATGTAATAAGGATAAACATCCAGTAGGCTAAAATAAAAAACATATACATATGGGGGGAGGAGAAACCCACGCTTTTTTAATTAAATGCTTAGGCAAGAGTATAAAGTAATAACAAGAGAGGGACAGAAATGTTAAAATTTCCACTTTCCTCAGTGTCCTTCCACAAGAAGAATGTGCTTCCCAACCAGAGGGAAAAACAAAATGTAAGAAAGACCTGCTGACCAACCATAATAAAGTGCCCATGTCAGAGTCTCTAGGCACTTTCACACGAGAATCACGTACCTTGACAGAAAAAGCCACTCAAGAAACATCCCTGTGAATAAGAGATGGAAGGTGGATTTCTACCAAAATGAGTCAGTGTGATGCAGAGAATGTTGGTCATGAATCAACAGGTAACCAGAGAGAAGAGTATGGGGCCCTGCCAAAGCCATGAACTTCACCCTGTCCTGTGCCGCCCTTAATCCACACCCTGCTTGAACTCACAGAGGACATACACTGCCTCACACCTGGGAGGCAGGACCGATGTGCTAGAAGGCAGAACGGAGATTCAGAAAACTCATCAAAACTGGCACAATCTCACCACTAAATATGGAAAAGATGTAACCATACAAAAAAAAAGGTAATCTGTCAATATTCCCACATGACACTTAAACTTTTTAGATATATTTTTTAATTTTATTGATTATGTCAGTACATTTGTTCTATTTCCCCCCTCCGTTCCCCTCCCCCTGCACACCCCTCCCCCCACTCCCCCCTATGAACACGTGTCTCAAGTTCTATAGATTCTCTATTTCCCCTACTATTCTTACCCTCCCCCCTATTTTCTACCTACCGTCTATGCTACTTATGTTCTGTACCTTCTCCCCCCTTCTCCTTCTCCCACTCCCCTGTTGCTAACCCTCCATGTGATCTTCATTTCTATGGTTTGCTCCTGATCTAGCTGTCCTCTTAATTTGCTTTTATTTTAGGTGTGGTTGTTAATAACTATGAGTTTGCTGTCCTTTCACTGTGCATATTTTTTATCTTCTTTTTCTTAGGTAAGTCCCTTTAACATTTCATATAATGAGGGCTTGGTGATGATGAACTCCTTGAATTTGATCTTACCCGAGAAGCACTTTATCTGCCCTTCCATTCTAAATAAAAGCTTTGCTGGATAGAGCAATCTTGGATGTAGGTCTTTGGTTTTCATGACTTGGAATTCCTCTTTCCAGCCCCTTCTTGCCTGTAAGGTCTCTTTTGAGAAATCAGCTGACAGTCTGATGGGGACTCCTTTGTAGGTGACTGTCCCCTTATCTCTTGCTGCTTCTAGGATTCTCTCCTTCATTTTAATCTTGGCTAATGTAATTATGATATGCCTTGGTGTATTCCTTCTTGGGTCCAACTTCTTTGGGAATCTCTGAGCTTCCTGGATTTCCTGGAAGTCTATTTCCTTTGCCAGATTGGGGAAGTTCTCTTTTATTATTTGTTCAAATAAAGTTTCCACTCATGATTGTTCCTCTTCCCCTTCTGGTACTCCTATAATTCGAATGTTGGAGCGTTTAAAGATGTCCTGGAGGTTCCTTAGCCTCTCCTCATTTTTTTGAATTCTTGTTTCTTCATATTTTTGTTTGGTCATTTTTTTCTTCCTTCTGGTCTGCTCCCTTGATTTGAGTCCCAGTTTCCTTTCCATTACTATTGGGTTCCTGTGCATTTCCATTCATTTCAATTAGTTTAGCCTTCATATGTTCCTCTAATTTGTGACTAAAATCAACCAGTTCTGTGAGCATCCTGATCACCAGTGTTTTGAAATATGCATCTAAAAGTTTGGCTATTTCTTCATTGCTTAGATTTATTGGCTCTGGGGCTCTGAGTTGTTCTTGAGCCATGTTTTCATATGTTTGTGCCTGTTAAGTATGAGGAGCAGAGACTTAGGTATTCACCAGGGCAGGGCCACCCAGGTCGCTGGTTTGTGATACTGTATGTGGGGGTGGGGTCAGAGAGGGAGCAATGGCAGTCCTCTCTGCTCACCCAGTCTGCTTCACCACCACCCCCAGCCTGTTTATCTGAGTGCAAACGTGTGAGCTGGCTGCCCTGCACCCAGGCCTGTGCGGTCTATCTCAATGCGAGTCTCTTCACTGGTTTATCTGCGTGCAAATGTGGGACCGCAGACAGCCAGCCACTCTGCGTCTTGCCTGTGTCCGCCCATAGCTACCCCACACCTGGGATCCGCGCCCTTAGCTGCCTGTGTGCCACCCGGGTCGGGGGATCTTTTTTGCCTGACCTGCTCCACTGCTGGCTTCGCCCCTCTCACCAGTTTAGCTGAGCGGTTGCTTATTTTCAGACTCCATATTGTTCGATTTTCTGTGGTTTGGTTGCGTTTATTGTTGTTAAAACTTTGTTGTTTTTAAATTTGGTTGTGCGAGGAAGCAAAGTGTTTCCACCTACGCTCCCATCTTGGCGGAAGTCCTAAACTTTTAAATATTTTTGCTCTCAGCTCCTTCCTCTGTCCCTACCAATTGTTTTGGGGGCAGGGTAAGGATTGTTTTCTTTTTGTTGCTATGAACACATCTAATCTTGACAATTTTTTTTCATGTTGGAAGTCCTTTATTGTAAACAACTATCCTTCTGTCTGATGACAAACAGCAGCCACTGTCAGTGATTATTTGGGACCTCCACACTGGATAAATTCCATTTCTTCTTGAGATATAGGTTTCCTTCTATATTTCTGAGGTAACGTTTTTATTATTTCTGCTGTGTCTGGTGGACCCTGATGCATTGGCCCATCTGGTGATTTACTTCCCTTAAAATGCTGTGAAATTAAAGAAGAGTGAGATGGTAGTCCTGCTGATCTCAGAACTTCTGATACACTGGATTTAGGATGGTCTCTTGTGTTAGGAAACCTTATTAATGGAGTATGTGGCTTGACTACTGGAACGACCCTGCTGGTGGACGCCATCTTACTGCCCATCATGACCTCCGAGAAGGGGTAGCTTCTGGGCTAATCTTGACAATTTTTAAGGGCGTGAACTGCACATGGACTTTGGAGTTAGACCCAGAGTCACATTCTGGCCCTGGCACGGCCCGCTTGGGTGACACACTGATGCCCAGCTTCCCTGTCCACACAGTAGTTCCCAAAGAGCTAGATAAGACCTGAACTCGGGACTCACTTCCCTGGACATGATAAACATTGTCCATGCTATATTGCTCTTCAGTAACACCCTTCAAATGGCATACGTAAGAGTTAATCAAATCAATATGCTTTTAACTCACTCTTTACTGGGCACCTATTTCGGGGGACATACTGCCTTGAGAACTGTGGATGCAGAATAAACCCAGCAGACTGGGCCCCTGCTCTCATTCTACACCTGGACAGACAGACCAGGTAAGTGTCAGATGAAACAGGGTCAAAACAAAGACAGATTTAAAATAAGCAGCTTGGTTCTCGCTGTTATAATAAGGGAAGCCATTTCCCTCTTCTCCTTTTTTTCTTTGCTCATTTACACTGAAAACTCACCATTGTACTTTCTGGAAATGTACATAAATCCTGTTGAAGACCATTTTGGCAATTGGTAAGTTTTATGACTTAGGAATGTCTTTCTCAAAACCTGGAAGCGGTCTTTGGAATGTAAGTATCAACGGATAGCACCTCTATCTCCCAGTTTCTGTGGGAGGGTAGGAGCCTAACTTCAATAAGGCTCCTTGCTCCAAGTTGGGAGACAACTCCTGTCATAAAGATAGAAGTTCATTTTTCCTCTAATTAAACCAAGGAGCTAACACAGACTCCAACTACAAGGTACATGAACTGTGTGTGACAGAGGGTGCTGTCAGGTCTTCTTACCTGAGAACCAGTTACGGTTTATGCTGGAAACATGTGTGTGATGGGTTGTATGTGCCTGGCTGCACACATGGCTGAGATTTCTTTCTGCTTTTGCAATCTCTTAGTGGATTGCCTGTGATCAATATCATGTTCTGGCTTAATGCTTATTCAGTAATAAAAGTGTTTTCTTTCTCTCCCACCTTTGTGGAAAGCGTGTCTGGGTTGAGAGGTTTTGTTTTTAATTTTCTTCCTCTAACAACAGTGCTTGCAGAACAACTTTGGATGGGTGATCAGGGAAAGCCTCTTTAAGAAGGTGCGCATTATACTGAGACTGATTTAGGAACCCACCAGGCTTTGGCTGGTATGACTAAGTGAATTGAACATCGGCCTATGAATTGAAAGATCACTGGTTCAATTCCCAGTCAGGGCACACGCCTGGGATGAGGGCCAGGTCCCCACCCAGGTGGGGATGTGCAAGAGGCAACCAGTTGATATTTCTCTCACACATTGATGTTTCTTTCCCTCTCTTTCTCCCCCCTTCTCCTGTCTCTCTAATAATAAATAAATAATTTTTAAAAAAGGAATCAGCCAGGACAAATCCAGAAGGCAAATCAGGAAAGACACTCCTGGCAGAGATGGCTGGGGTGGCAGCACTGTAGGAAAGGGACAACAGGGATGCCCAGAAGTCCAAGTGCAAGCAGAGACAACCCCACAGGGCCCCGCAGGCCAGACTGGGAGCCTGGACTGTGACTGTAACAGCAATGGGAAGCCACAGCCACGGAGGCACACACAGAGGCCTTAATGACTCAAGTTAAGAATTGAAGTTTAGAAAAATCCTCTGGTTGCTACAAGAAGAATGAATTTTGGAGGACAAGGGTGAAGGCAGAGAGATGGGTCGACAGCCCTACAGTAAGTAGTCCAGGCAGAGGCAGTAGCGACCAGAACAAGCAAAGACAGAAACAGACCAGCTTACATGTTTCAGCGGAAGAGTTTACAGACTTGATGATGGACAGCATATAGAAGTGAGGGAAAGATTATTTTAGTGGCCTCTTTGACACACTGAAAGTTACCCAAAGTCAGAAACCAGGACATGTGAGGTCTACAAACATTCTATACAAGGAGCAGTCAAAGGAATGTTTAGCCTGGAGACAATCAGGCTGTTAAGTAAACACAATTTCAGTCTCCATGTATTTGAAGGGCTCCAATGACATCAACAATAACAGCAGCTCTTACCCCACCGTTTTTTTGTTTGTTTGTTTTTTACCCCATTGTTACTGTTACAGTTATTAGTGCATGTGTCTGTCTGCACACTAACCTGTAAGCTCCTCGAGGCAAAAATCATCTCTTATTTTTGCATCTCCATCTCCTCCACTGTGAACATTAATGATAAGTGACACGCTCACCCCTGCCCAGGCACAGACCCTGCCTGTCTATTCTTCTTTATTGCCCCAAATTCACTCTGACTGGTGTGGCAGGTTTTCTTCTCAACCCAGACCTTCCCCTATTTGGGGCACTGCTGCCAGCCCATCCTGGCACTTGTCCCAGAGGGCAGAGGCGAACCCTAAGGTTTCCTCCTTTAAGTCAAATGTAATAAATGGGTTTCTCCTTGCAGAACAGGTGCTCTGGGTTGGGTCTATTTGCTAGTTCTTTTGTTTTTAGGTATTACACTCTTACTGGAAACTAATTACTCAGGGCACAGGCATGCACTCCAGCAATAAATATCCCAGGATAAGTTTTCAGCATCATGAACATGTCTCCATCCCACTGCCCATTCCATAGGACCACCACCAACACCAAAACATATACAGGGTCATAGATAAAGGTCTCTCACAGAGTCGACCGGCAAACATCCACTTGCAGGCACACTGGTGTGTGTTATTCTATCCTGTGTCAGAAGTTACACATAATCTCAGGCAACAGGTTCTTAACCAGGCCTCTCTCTGACTTCTGTCTCTCCCTACTCCAATGCTACCACTAGTAGTGCACGGACCTGCAACGTGCCCCACCCCAATGAACACACTATGCACACTCACACCCTGGCAATCAAGACCTGCTCCCAACTTCTCCTGAATACTGAGACCCAATACAACACTCATTCCCCCCTGCCTGGCCTTTTCTGTGGTCTTCACCCATCCGTAACATTTCATTCAACCTGCCTTACCTCTCCTATAAAAATTCTACCCATCCATCTCATGTCTCCTGCTTCTCAAAGCTTTTCCAGCCAGACCCTGAAAAGTTTTAAAATTATTTTTTATCCTCACCTGAGGACATTTTTTTAATTGCCTTTAGAGAGAGAGGAAGGGAGAGAAAGAAAGAGATTTAAAACAAAAACCAACCCATCGATGTGAGAGAGAAATATTGATTGGTTCCTTCCTGTACACCCCCAATTGGGGATTGAACCCACAACCTGGGTACATGCCCTGACCGGAAATCGAACCCACCACCAGTTGGTTTATGGGATGACCCTCCAACAACTGAGCCGCACTGGCCAGGGCCAGACCCCACAACATGACGTGATCTCTCCCATCATACCTCTGTGTAGCCCACCAAGAACTCTGTACTTCTCTTGAGATAATTATCTTTTTATATCTAATTTTGATGTTACTTGTATACTTACCTTCTATTCCCTGCAAACAGGACTGTGTCACACTAATCAACTGTATCTACTGCACCTACTTAACCAGAAACTTAACAGCCACTTAGTGGACCTAAAGGGGCCAGTGTCACAGGGAATTAATGAAATGAGAAGGAAAGAAAACAGAGTACCACTAGAACGCAGGCTTCCTACTGTAGGGTTTACTCACATTCTGATAATTGTCATATAATCAGTACCAGGTACAGCGCTGGCATGCAACTGGCATGAACAAGTATGTGCCCCACCATCAAATGAATGGAAGGATGGTTGGAAGAACAATCAGAGCGATGTATAATATGATATACAGCCACGCCCTTACAAGCCTTACAGTCCATTGAGAGTTACAAAACCATAAAAATGACATGACAGCTAGTGAGTAATATAAGTCAGCAACCAAATGGAGAGCCCAGAAAACCTGGCCCAAGGTCCAGGCTCTGATGCAAAGTGCCCTCAGAAACTGAGACTCCTGGAGAAAAACATGTGAACACTTGAACCCAGGCCCGACAGACGTGGTCACACACCAGATAAGGGAGAACCAGTTGTGGTGAGCAGTGAAGTGCCACTCTGCAGACACAAACAGCTAACACAGTTCAGCGAGCACTTATCACAGGGCCAGGTGCTGGTCTGCATTATCTCATCTGATCTGTGAATTACCCTCATTCCATGGATTAAACAACTGAGACACAGCAAGGTCAAAGTCCTAATGCAGGATAAAGCTTTGATGGTACAATTTAAAAAGGAAAACAGATTAAAAAAAAAAAAACAGTGAATTTTTTTTTTCCAGAATTTTACAACACACTAACAAGCTGTCTGTTTTGGGTGGGGATGTAGAGCTTGTCATTGTAAAAAGTCATTAAGCTCAAAATTGACAGAGAGCCAGGGGCACTCCCATTTATGAAAAGGATTCAGAGGGGCTTTACACACTACTTTGAGGGGAAAATAAGTCAAGAACCATAGGAAGGCAACAGGGGCAACTCATGCGGGCTTTGATAAGAGCTCCTGACAGCACTTTAACTCAACACTATTAAAAGAGAAGGAATTCAGCCCTGACCGGTGTGGCTCAGTTGTTTGGGTGTCATCCTGCAAAGCGAAGTCACCGATTTGATTCCCAGTCAGTGCACATGACTGGGTTGTGGATTTGGTCCCCAGTTGGGGCGTGTGTAGGAAGCAGCCAGCTGATGTTTCCCTCCCTTCCCCTCTCTCCAAAAATAAATATGAGAGAGAATGAGAATTTAGACTGCCAAGGTAAGGAAATGCTAAACCAAGGAGAAAATAAGATGCCCTCACAAGTTGAAGATGAGAATCAGACATAACAGTGTCAGTAAGGCACTTGGGCCAAAATACAGCTACAAGAATATCATTACAAGCTGGCTAGTTAAACAATTTTTTAAAAAAGCATACAACTTTTGTTACTTGAAACCTCTGGGAATAGTCTTTCTGGAGAAATAAAATTCCCTGGGAACTAAAGAAAAAGCTTTGAGTATTAGCGGTAGTTTTTTGGTATAAACCATTTTTTAGATTGTTCTTTCTCAAAAGTACTGCTCCTCAGAGAATACTGAGCACACTTCACAATTCTCAGTGACGCCGAGCCATGAGGATAAACACAGATGACTGTGACCCAATGCACGCAAAGCTGCAGATGCAGGAGGCATAGCACTTGCTCCTACAAGCAGCCCAGGCAGAGGGACTCATTAAAAACGATCATTTGGCCCTGGCTGGTGTGGCTCAGTGGATTGAGCACAGGCCTGCGAACCAGACAATCGCGGTTCGATTCCCAGTCGGGGCACATGCCAGGGTTGCAGGCAGGCTCCCTGCAGGCCAGTTCCCAGCAGGGGACGCAC